GAGTGACGAAGGTAATGGTTGAATATATGTTTATCCACTGTGGAAAGAGGATAAGCTTTGAAAAATTTGCCTTTCATGTGAAGTTGACAGCCACTACTAAGTAGTAACCACCTATAAACACCCCTCCTCACTCACTCTACGAACAAGCTTCCATTTCTTTCTTGAGTGAGAAGGGCAGTGTATCCTACCGACTGACTGAGAGAGAAGATGGTGGCAGCAAAGGCCTTCCTCGTTATCACCCTATTGCTCCTTGTAGCCACCCTACTTGTCTACACAGCAGACTGCAAAGAGCAGGTGGACGCGAAACAACAGATTCAAGGTATCATGTCTTCCCCAAATCACTTACTGCTACTATTTATGCTCCTGCTGGAACTACTAATGTGGAGATCGGAATTACTATTTTCTGGGACATCTACTATTCGCTTACTACTACCACTTGGCTACTACTTTCTGAATCGCTTACTACTACTACTACTACAAAATTGTTCCATGTCACTTCATTTTGAAAGACATGACCAGTTCCAATTGACGCTATGTTGATGATAGATTTGAGCTGAAAAGCTCAACAAGTTGAGGTGATATGCAACCTATTGTTTTATGTGTTGGACATGCATCAAGTTTTACCAGTGTTTTAAAAATCTGCTAGCAGCCTTTTTACCAGTACTGGTAAAAGTGCTAGACCACCGACCGAATTTCCTTATTTTATATTATCTTATGTATAAAAACTTTGGAAAATGGCAAGCCTAACAATCAGTTTCGAGCAGGCTAGAAGCTAGTGGGTGATCAGTTCAACCCATCTCTCAAGGTTCAAAATAGTATGCTGCCCTGTGTCATTAGTAACTAATTACTAGGTTGGTAGTTGTGATAATGGTAATTTAGTTTTGTACCTGTTGTTGTTTTGCTGTATATGGCAGAGCAAGCTCATGGGGGTGGATGCAAATACGGTTGCTGCAAGAAAAGCCCACACGGCTGCACGAAGTGTTGCCCTCATCCTACAGAACAAGGAGAAGTAGTAGTGGAGCCCGAAGCTGGGTCGCACTGCAAGCACGGGTGCTGCTACATGTATCACCATGAGTGCAGGCGCTGCTGCGCCCACTCTAATGAGGCCAAGTTCGTCATTGACGATCATGATGTTGCAAACACACAGGCAGAACAAGGCCACGGACACTGCAAACATGGATGCTGCCACATGGATCACGGCCACTGCAAGCGCTGCTGCTCCCACGCTAATGAGGCCGTCGTCATCGAAGAACCCTAAGATAATATCACCACCTTTACTAAATAAATCAGGAGGTCTACCTATCTATGTATGATTTAAGGTCTTAAAGAGTGGTATTTGAGAATAAAAGGGCCAGAAAAGCGAGTCTTAAGTGAGCCCATCGTTGCTGAATGCAACCGTGTGTCTGTCTCTATCCGTTGTAATGAAGGAAACAATCACGTCATGTGGCCTTAGTTCCATGGTGCTATTAACTATACTGTCTGTTGTCTTAACTACCTCTCTCTTTCACTTTCTCTCTCTCACATGGACCTTACGAAGCAGCTACATCAGTCTTTATCAACTTTTTTTCTTTGTGGAGCGAATGAAGCTACTAATGGAACACATCAGTCTTTATCAACTTTTTTTCTTTGTGGAGCGAATGAAGCTACTAATGGAACACATCAGTCTTTATCAACTTTTTTTCTTTGTGGAGCGAATGAAGCTACTAATGGAACATAGTTAAAAAAATTATTTGGTTTTGTGATGATTTGAAATTTTCGTTATTGCACGCTTTATTTTTTTTTGAAGGAAAGGTATAGACTTTTGGTACAAGGTGGTCACAATTAACCTCGACCATTAAATGTGAAGTTAGGTGGCTGCATTTATTCTATTGACCAAACTCAATGTTCAAAAGAAATTTTATCAAACACCCAAGCTATTAGATTTCACATCAGATGGTTTTAAGTAATTGTGACCTTCTTTTACAAAAGGTGATTGGTATCGTCATATACAATCCCTTTTTTATATGTTTCCTTTTTTATTTTTTTAAAATATTTTAAAATATAGATCAAAAGTTTCAATAAACCTTCGTTTGTATATACTTTTACTTTTGTAGTCATTGCATAGTTTCTAGTACTTTAATTATTTATTTGTTCTTGTTTTTCACTTATTTTAAACAAATTAGTTACCTTTTTTGTAGACTATTTTTAACCTATACAGGACTCAACCTACTCCATCTGGACTCCACCGAGTTATTTGCCTTGGAGCAAGGCTGAGTCCAAGGCCCAAGGCATTTTGAAAACTTTGGGTTCAAGTATCGATGTCGGTGGGAGGAATCACCAACCAAGATAGCTCTCAAGGATAACACGTAGCACAATGATTTAATACAATAGTTGTATAGTAATATAATGCAAAAATCTTCAAAATCATGTGAGGGCCATTTGTTTGATCCAAAATTTAAAATATCCACTCTTTTCATTCTAATGATCAATCACAAAAAAAGAAAAATTGAAAATGCAACCTCACAAGTATTTTTTAGCCCAATTAACATGGGCCGTCCATTTTTATGAAATGCTCATATCTAAGCCTTAGAAGGAATTTTTTTTTTAGATAGCTTTATTATCACTAGATGAACAACATTAAAAAAGAAAAAACTAAATTTGAGTTTGTAAATGCTAAGGCCTTGAAATTCACCCAATGAATGGTCTAGTTTTTTTATTTTGGATGACTCATTTCAACCAAATCTAGGGTTCAAATCGAACTTTCTTGTTTTTTTTTTTTGTGATTGATTATTGAGATGAAGAGAGTATGTATGCAAAATTTTGGGTCATACAAATACCACAAACATGATTCCTGAAAGTGTGGTTGCATTATACTATGATACAGTTGTTGCATTAGATCACCGCCGTAATATGTATTTATGTATAATGAATTAACAATTCACCGATTCTGACAAAAGAACCAAAATAGTCGAATGCTCCTTCAATTCATAATTTTTGAAAATTTGAATCGACGCCGAAGTGTTGCACTTCCAATTTCCAATTTGGGGATTTATAGGGAATATAAGAAAAACAAAAACAATGAGGAAAACGTTTATATAGAGTCGAGGATCTAAACATCAATTAGAGCCCACCTCAAAACTTTTACGCGAAGAGGTTGTTGTGATTCCAAACTATCATCAAATTGATTATCTCTACATCAAGATGCATGGACGCGAGAAGAAAAATGGATTTCAAGTTTTTGAAATAGTGCTTCTTGTAACGGATTTTTGGACCGTCAATTTTCAAGATTTTCTAATTTTCATAGATTTGCTCGATCTACACTATTTTTGAAGATGTAAATTTTATCATTAAATATGGAAACATAATTTAAGGCTCCCACAAAGATTTCCAATATTGAAACCACAATTAACGACACCATTTATAGGTGTTCTTTACTCTTATTGTTTAGAGCCTCGACTCTTTAGAGACTGCACGTAAACAATAATGATATCGTTTTCAGTTTCGACATAGTTACTGGGGATGGCTTAACCCATCATACTCATTCATCGGCAGTTTAGGCCCTAAAAGATTTAAGCGTCGTGCGACATTTGGTTACCGAAGGGGTTTCCTTCCTCAATACAAGGAGATCTCTATGAAATCAGCACCGTTGGATTCTTGACTCATTGCTTTATCACCCTTAAAGATGTAGCATGGATTGAGTTGAACAATTTATGAATCCTTGATTTTTCTTCGGAAAGATCATGAGGTTCAAATGTTTGAAATTCAAGACAAGCAACAATGAGATTAACAGCGTCAAAGGATAAATACATGAAGTAAACAACATCATGAAGATAAAGATTACGCCCTACAAATTATGTGATTCAAAAGAAAGGATAACTTCAAGATGAAGATGGAGGGTGAAGAATCAAAGATGGGAAATGCATGGATATCTTTTGAAAAACCATAACTTAACAACGTAAAAGGGGGATCTCTCGAGTGAAGAGGGGTCGCACATTTTTTATAGACACAGTTTACTAGATATAAGTGTTATTGCAAGGTTTTTTTACCGCAGTAAGAATTAAGTGGAAAATAGAGTGAGATATTCAAGACACAAAGAAAGAGATAATCGTATCCTACGATTCATATGTTTGGAAGACTAGATTTGAAGGATAATATCCCTGTATACACCCACAAGAATATGAGCCGATATACTATCGATTTTATCTTTTCCGTTCAGATATGTCTGTATATGTTTTCCCTTATAAACAAATATATAGGTTTCAAGGCCAAAATTAATGATGTTCGGCTTATTTTTCTTTTCTTTAGCACATGTAATTTCTAGAAGGGGATTAAACTTCTTAAACTATTCAATGCCCAGTATAAGATAAGGCATGTGTTTTTGATATAGAATGCACAGGCGAATTTGGCCTCGAATTTGATGCCCTCTGGTTTTCTATTTATAGTCTAATGTTGTTTGTACATTCCCTTTTAAGCATTCACATTTGGGACATCCAAATCCCTTGCGATTCCACTGGGGAGCAATTCACCTTTCATCTATGGTTGAGTCTAGGAAGTCGAATCTCTCTCTAGGATATGGCCTGAATCACGATCTTTTCCACAGTTACTCTCGTGTATTTTTTATTCACCCTAACGAGCGAACCCTTGCGTTAATCACAGGTCATCAACGATAACAATGGCTTTAATAGTGATATCTCTCCAGGTAGGAACCATGGGGGTCCCGTGTGCTATGAAGTCAACGATCGCATGACAAGTGTCCAAGCCACAAACTTCAAAGGCGAGGAAGATGCGAATATCCCGGCCTCAGGTGGACTTGGTCCTAGGCAGCAGACCCTTGAGGGTAATCTTGACTTACTCCAACAATGGTCGGGAAACAAAAACTGATAATGATGTTGTCACGACGCCACCCCCAAACCCCTGTCGGAGGGCGACAGAGCACGTGATCGCGACCCGAGGTCGCAGACATCACTCAGGTGGGAGTGGCTCAACTCATGAAAACACGGAATCAATAGCAAACCGTGAAAGCAAATTCGAATAAACCCATACAACAGAAAAATATCCATCCAAAAGAACAACCATTAAGTATCAAAAGTCCTTACAATTCATTCAAGGCACTGCCGGCCTAAGATACACAAAATAGGGTATATGTCATGTTGCTGAAACCACCAAAACATACTGTGAAAGTCTTCGGAAGATGGCTTTTCGTGCTTCTTAATTTTGGGCTGCAACTCCCAAACTGCCACCCACCTCAACACATATGCCACCACACTTCACTCTACCATTATGAAATTAAGATGGAATGAGCTAAAAGCTCAGTAAGAAGATCTACACCACTGCATTTCTACTAGTATAGTAGTGACAGTAATATGCAATGTACATGTATTCACAAGGTATCAAGTGAAGTCTCTTAACAAGCTTTTCAATACTCAAATTGTAACATGATAAAAGCAGTTCAATAAACAATACATAGGCCAAATCACCTGGCCTAAAGCAGAACAGTAAGAACAACAGATCATAGCTACAAAACTAGTAAGGATCTACTCCCAAAGTAGAAGTTAAGCCAATCTTATTGCTTGGAATTGACTGTTTTGCCCTTGCCTAACAATTCATGAAATTCCAAAACAGTCCTTGCTCTGGCTCTAAAACCTGCGTGATCTTCCATGACTAATCCGGGGTTGCTTTGATGCTCGTTTGATCAAAATATGGTTGTTTTATTATAGGACTCTGCATAGCGATCGATTTGATACTAATTTCAAGTTATAGATCGTGTTTTTAAGCTACGATCATAAGACTTGAAATTTTGATGAATCTTGAAACTTCAGGTCGATAGTACGCTCGTTCCTTGATGTTTTTCTATGATTTCTTCATTGTAGTGTACTAAGCATGTCGTCACAATCGCGTGGCAACAATCGGGACACGATTTGGAATCTGAACGAAGATTTCAAAACTTTTGGATTTTGGACAGAACCTAGAAATCCGGTGGCCTGAATTATAGTCACTTTCTTGCCTATGTGTGAAAAATTCAATCGTTCATGATGTACGGGGTTCGGTCCAATCCTAGCCGTGGACCTTATGCAGACAAGGGAATTGGTTTCGTGTTGATCTGATACACGAGCATCGTGATTTGGCCACTTGTGCAAGTCATGTCGTTGCTGATTTTTTTGCCACTACTTCATGAATCAGCAACTTCTCTCCAGCTTTTCTCCCTACTCGAGTGTTGTCACGGGGTGTGCCACACATCAAAATGCTCGTCTTACAAAATTTGAACTCGATCTTACACAGAACAAGTGAGACATGAGTCTTGAAAGTCACTACTTGTGACTATGAAAGTAGCCACCTTTAATGGTGTTTTAGTGCAGGGAGGCCACACAGGAATAGTGTGCGGCATATCCCTTTTCAATGCTTTGCTCATAACTTTGTCCTAGAGTGTCTGATAAGCTGAAACTTGACCCATATGGGTTTTCGACTGTGTCGGATCTAATGGAGGTGGTCCTACAGCTTTTTGACTCACCAAA